AGGCAAGCACAGTGAAAGAGGCCAAACTCCTGTCCATTTTTGCTGTTGCTTTAAGTGAATGAAATTAATCATGTATTTTTTCCTGTGATTTCAGTAAGCCAGCAGCTACAGCCAGTTAGCAGGTAGGGAGGAGAGGGATGGTATAGAATGTAAGGTTAAAAAGTATAGATGTACATTGTCCTCTTCAGGCCTCACAGAAAACATCAAACATTCATAATCATATCATAATATCTGATATCTTTTGTTAGGGATCTGATCACTGTTGTTTTAATGGGAAGCGTATCAACTTCCTGATGAATTCCTTACTGCATGTAAGTCATTCACTGGTAAGATATGCCATCATCTGTCTGTTGTGCTTTAGCCTAGGTCATAAATTTGCTTCGTCTCACTCCAGAATGCTTCGAATACAGATAAAATCATATGTAATACAGGGACCTGAATTCTCATCTCAACGAATGCAAATATTTCATGACACATCTTTACATGCACCTACATAAAGAAGCACTTAAAGGACAAGCCTTTTCTCTCTCAGCTTGTATGTGGTTTTCTTTTAAACAGAGTGGGAAGGGGCTCATGAAATTTTTGTTTCCAGTGTGCTCCCCTGAAGTTCAGGGTCCTGATGCTGCTTTTTTCTCCAGATCACAAATTCCACCAGGCCACAATCACAAAAGCCCAGGCTGCCTTCAATCTTAACGTCGTTAATGGTCTCCTCTACATTGGTGAGCATGAGATCCAATAGGACTTCAGCTTGGGTTGATCTAATACCTGGAGCAGGAATTTATCCTCAACAGACTCCAGGAATGTCCTGGATAAATAACATAAAATAACTCTTGATAAGGACAAGCCAACCGGGGACCAACAGTTGCAAGCCCTTGCATGGACAGAGGGCCAAGGCTTGCAGCTGGTTTGATTGTTCTGCAAGGAGGAGAAAATCCCCCAGAGACAGTCCTGGGTTTTGACATCCCTCGGGAGGAACCTGGGGGTCTCAGAGGGCTGGCCAGCAGAGTTGGAGAGTGTGGGGAAAGCCTGTAGGACTTCCTCCTGCAGCCTAAGAATGATGGAGTCATAGAATCATTAAGGTTGGAAAAGACCTCTGAGATCATCAAGTCCTACTATCAGAGAGAAACATGAACTTTTATTGAATAAATCTTCTTGCTGTACATGCCTGGGGCTGCATGCCATGGACAGAGTGACCTGATGGGGCCCATGGGAAGATGTGGCCAAGGCCCTGGTGACTGGTGCGAAACACCGATGCCAAGCACACGAGATGCAAAGAATGGAATGGGCAGTGACACTGGGAAAAGCCCAGAAACTTGTGAAATTAGTGCTGGTGCTGGAGTACGTGCTGCAGGTGAGGATGGCTCATTGTGATGAGCCAACAGTGGACTGTGACATTGCTGTGGGATGGGCAGTGATGCCCCCAAGAGAAGGTCGAATAAAGGTGACGCCCAACAGCTTGGCCAAGCTGTGGTTTGAGACATCTCCAGGCAACGGATTGTGACTCCATAGTCCACAGATGCTTTAACGTGGGCATAGCAGCTCAGCCCAGCAGTTCGTGTCTGGCCTCCAACCGAGCGTGTGTGCGAGGACTGGAGTGTGGACAGGGTGAACTTTGGTGCTGGTACGTGCTCTGGGTGCTGCTAGCGCAGCTCTCAGAAGCCGTTTCAGAGCCACTTTTTCTTTACCCTGACCCTGCTGGGAGCAGGCGGACGGGACATCCCGGGGAGGCGCGTGCAGCAGCATAGGTAGGCGGCACAGGGACTGGCATCGAGGGGGGGTGAATTCTGAGAGATCCTTGTCAGGCCGATGTGTGACTAATGTCTCTTGTCCTCTTCCAGTGTGACACCTGCTGCTGTAGCGTCAGTGCTGGGGAGTGTGTTACCATCTTCTGCTCCCCCGAGCCCACCATAACTGGTGGAAGCATGGAGGCAGCATTAGACACCCGCTGCCCCGTGTGCCTGGAGAACTGGGACAGCGCGGCGTACACCATGCCGTGCTGCCACCAGTTTTGCTTCCCCTGCATACAGCGGTGGACAAGCACCAGGCCCCAGTGTCCGCTTTGCAAACAGGACGTGCGATCCATCATCCACTCTGTGCGAGCGGACAACGACTATGAGGAGCTGGTGCTCAGACCAGCTGCAGTGGCAGCCACTGCCAGATGGAGCCCCGCAGGACGCCGCGCAGCCCGGCCATGGCCTGCAGTGCCCACGCGTCCTGTGGGTGGCCTGTCCCCTGCCACCTGGGCTTCCGTCTTCCAGGAGCACCCGGTCCTGCTGCGACCCTTGCACTCCTGGCTGCGACGGAAGCTGCGCCGCATCCTGGGCACCGAGGGGCCACATGCAAATACAGTGGCATACAGTGTCATCTGGGCTGTGCTCCTTGTCGGCCTGGCAGAAGAGATCCTGGCAGAAATGCTGGAACCCGACCTGCACGGCCACGCAGTGATCTTTGTGAGGTACTTCATCGCCTTCGCTGTGCAGAGGTGCGCCGGGGAGGCTCATCACTTGCTGGGCCTCAACATCGCTCCAGCTGCTGGGGCACAGGCCATTGCATCAGAGCCCAGAGCTGCCCCAGGAGAGGAGGCTCCTGTCCCTAGCCCAGCATCCCCCAGCAGCCCTGCCGGCTCCGGCTCCAACGGGGACGAAATGCTGGGCAGGACAGGAGAACAGCTCAGTGGGCGTCCCAGCCGCCCACATTCCAATCCTGTGAATGTCACCATGGAACAGGCAGCGCCCCGTGAGGAGCCAGAAGAGGTTGCAGGGCCCTCTGGCACCAGCCCACCTGAGGGGACCCGGCGAGCCCCAAAGAGGAAGGCCAGCAACTCCCAGCCTTCGGCATCACCAAAGAAGAGGCCACCTCGCCGGCAGGATTAGAGCAGTGATGGAGCTGAAGAGACTGGGGCCGGGCAGCAGCTGGGACGTGCACCGGCCCCAATGGACCCCTGCCATCAGTGTCCAATTCCACCATTGAAATAAAGTAGAACAAAAGACTGCAAAAAAAAACCAAAAAAAAAGTGTTAGTATTACTAATAGCAAAGCACAGCGGTTGTTGCTTCCCCACCCTTGACAGTTTCTTCCCTTTTTCCTACTGCCATGCCACTGGTGCATTCCAGACAGGAACCCCATGGGCTTCAGAGAAGGAAAGTGCAAATTTCTGCACCTGGGGAGAGGCACCCCCAGAGCATGCTACAGCTGGGTTAGCCAACTGCAGCAGAGCTAGGAGTCCTGCTGGACACCAAGCTGAACCAGCAAGGAGCCCAAGTTGCCTTGGTGAATGGTGTCCTGGGCTGCATGAGGCCAGATGCTGCCAGCAGGTGAAGGGTGGTTACCATGCCCCTCTGCTCGGCTCTGAGGAGGCCACAGCTGGAGCTTTGGGCCCAGAACTGGGCTCCCCACCACAAGAGAGACCAGGTGTTGTTCATTTTGCATGTCCGTAGCCCTGGGAGTACAAACTGTCCCTATCCCGCCTTGATGGGCTTGATGGGCTTGGTGGAATGTGTTGTAATTGGAGGGCTGGAGGGCTCGGTAGGGGAGCAGGGCTTGTCCCCAGCCTTGGGGAGGAGCCCATCCTCCACCCACGTGTGACATGCCCTCCATCATCTGCATCACATGCTGCACACAGCCTCCGCAATATTGTATGGGGTGTTTTTAAATCAAAATGCGACACTTCCCCTGTGTCATGGGTCGTCCGTTCCTGACTGCTGAGAGTTTCAGGACCATGCTGTGGTCGGGGCATTCCCAGACCTTGGGCAGGGTGAGGATTAGTGGGTCAGTTTCTAGGAGTCGTGCAAGGCTGGAGATGTTTCCTCAGCCCCTCCAGGTACCAAAATCCCCGAGTTCCATGGTACTGTGACTCTCATGCCTTATCACCTTGTACCATGCCCTGTTCCAGCTTTGCATGGATTCTGCTCCATCCCTGCAGGGTGCTAGGAACCACTTCTGAGGGCTGAGTTCACCAGGGACCAGTGCAGAGTCCTCCCCTCCTCCTCCACTGAGAAGGTACAATGCCAGCACCAAGACAGCTTGGTAGCACTCAGCTGGGTAGCCACTTGCTGGAAATGGAACTGGGCTTCTGGTGGACATAGAGATGGCAGCGCTGTGCTTAAGGCTATCTCCAGGTTGCCAGCTCAGGGTGGGTTTTGTACAGTCTCCACTGTAGCAAAGGCCGTGCCTGGCCCGGCAAGCCTCTGCTTTGCAGCACGTCTTTGGCTCCAGAAGACAGATTCTGAATTTCTGCCTCTTTTGCTCTCCTTTAAGACATTGCAGATCACAGAATAATGGAATCATAGAATGGCCTGGGTTGAAAAGGTCCTCATGTACTTGGTTAAATTATCACGCTAGGTGAGGTTTTGTGAAGAGTTCTTTGCTCGCTGCCCCTCAGCACGCAAATAAGTTTTTGTGTTGTGAAGAACTTGCAGCTCCCATCATTTTTGTGGGTTTGTGGGTTTTGTGCTTGCTCTAACCTGAAGCATCACACATATCCTCCAGATGACCCCATTTATTTCTGCGTTATATGTATTAATTACAAAACGAAGTGACATGCTCTTCTTTCTGCATGATCTTGATCATACGTTAATTGGTTTTGTTTATTTTTCCTTATAAATTGGAGAACACCTTAACAATGGAGCTTTATGTTCACTGTTCAATATGAAAGATGGGTATTTTGATATTTTCTTCTTCTGATTGATGGCTTGTTTGAACTCTCTTGTCCTCCTTTTGAAATTTTGGTCCTGTATGTTTTAAACAGCTGACTTAATAATATTCTGCTGGTTTTTCAGGAGGATCATTGATATAGTAAATGTTTTATACTTTTATTTTGAACATACTCTGCTTTTGTGAGGTGAGATACCAGCTACCAAAGAACCTTATTATCTAATCCCAGCATTGGGCATGCAAATAAGGCCATCACTATGAGTACAGGAAAAGTCAGTACAGAATGATGTGTAGTTTTCACATATCCCACGAGTTAAAATGCCATGTTTTGCTCCATGTGTCTTCTAGGTGTGGATGTGTGGAGGTGGCATGTTCGATGTTCCATGCTCTAGAGTTGGGCATATCTACAGGAAGTATGTCCCTTATAAAGTTCCTTCTGGCACCAGCCTAGCACGTGTGAGTAATTGGGTTTTGCTGTTTTTCATTTTCATTTATAATCACTTTCTTCATTTCCTGTGAACTGTTTTCCACACCTAACAGTAAGCCATTAAAATGTGAAACGAATGTTGCTTTATTTTTCTGAAATGAGATGTGCAATTGCTGCAGTTATGCTACCTTGCAGAGATAAAATTGCGAAGAGCAAAATGAAAGCTTAAAATTGTAGGGCTGGACATTTCAGAGCAGAAGTGCGTTTCATAGCAATTCAAAAGAACCTAAGAATAACCTAAGGCTTATGCTCCTTGAATAGCACAGTGTTGTCAGGCATAGCAGGACCAATTTGAAAGCACGTTTTCTTATCTGTCAGCAGAACAGGCAAAATCTTGCATAAGGAATATTTTCTGAGGGAGAAGAACTGAGCAACAATGATTTGAGCGACTGTCTAATTATTGTATAAAACCTGGTTATGGGATGCTGCCAGCTTGGAGCCGTGTGAGTGAGAAATTAGGAGACCTCTAGATATTTCTCAGACTACCATCCATATCCATGGGGAACTTTTTGCTCAAGAGAAAATGTTCTGTAACTTTCTGGAGATGTTCACAGGATGTCAAAAGATGGGAGACAAAGGCCACAGATGTAGCTTCCAGGCAGATACTAGTATTTATTCATGCTTAAATTTAATCTTTTCTATTTTAGAGGATTTTTTTTAAATGGCATTAATATTAAAGTCTGTATATTGCCATAGGATAATATTTTATGAATCCTTTTTTTCTTAATAATGAAAATGTGGTAAAAATAAAAGAATATATTTCTTTTAAAGGGGAGATATTCTTAGTTTCAGCAGCATGGAACAAGTCTGGCTGTGATAACTCTGGAGACAGGAATGAGGCCTTCTGTACTCCCTGCCTGAGCTGGGAGCTGCCTAGAGAGAGAAAAAATTGCCTGAAAAGAATGCCCATGTAAATAGCAAGGCACAGTAATGGGATTAGTGGTTGTGGCAGTGTTGGTGACAAGGGGATTGATTAAGTTGAGAGGTTCAGATCTTCCCCTAAGCTAAGCACGTGTATTCTCAAAGTGTTCTTGTTCAGATTTCTACACTGGTTGATATAAACTGCTTTGTTATTGTATCCCCTGGTGAAATCACACTTAACTTGATGTTAGAAGTCCAAGTTTCATTCTTTCTTTTCCCCTGCTACAGAACAAAGTATCTCATAAGAGAATATCCTGTCTTGTACATTACCTGTAGCAGTCAAATTCAGTCATTTCTGTTTGTACTTACTAGAATCTCATACAGTTCAACGTTACCTTTCATGGTGGCACTGTGAATACTTGCAGCCAACGGGTAGCCACAGCCTGCAGTCTCCCTTTTTTTCTGTTCATATGCATGTGTGTGTATGTATACGCATGTAATGTATTTATATTTTTATACCTTATATTTATTTTCACATTCCAATGAAACATCCGTGAAATACTGACACCCTAAAATACCAGATATAAAATTAAATACCTGCACATGCTCTGCCCTGTCTTGTGAGAAAAGATGTAGTAGCGTGTTGATGAGGTGGACCTTATCCATCCTATTCAAGAAATAGTTGCATCTGTGTTAGAATCTGAAATATGATGATGCTGAGGTAAATTTCTGGCATATGTTAAAATTTGAAAGAAAATTTGAATTTCCAGGTTTTTAATTTTTTTCTGGTACAGTATTCTAAATCAAAATATGACTGTTAAGATACATTGTATCAAGGTTGCCAACAGTACATGATCTTCTGTACATTTTAGTGTTTGGGGCTATCTTAATAACTAGCCAAGGAAGAAAGGACCCTGAACCATAACGTTGTGTTTAAGCCCAAAAATATTCTCCTTCTGTCATCCAATCCAGAAAAGCAAAAGCAAGTACATACTCATCTTTCATATGTCAATCCCTTTGAAACAGGCCATTTGTGGTTTTGAATAAACTGCTCCAAACAGAGCTGTTAGCCAAAATAATGCTATGGCATGTTGCCTAGATTTTTCATCAATCATTACCTTATTCTCCAAATATCATGATGTTCTCCAAAGAATGTAGTTTGCCTGTAAAAATATTTTATCTGAAACTTCCCTCCAGTTCAATAATGGATAGCATAGCAAAGAATACCTAGAAGTATTATCTCTGCAATATTTTCAGTACTTAGTTGTTTCCATAAAACATTTCGCTAAATCCTTTTCCATCTTCTGGTGTGTAAAGAAGGATGCTGGAGGTGCAGTTCACAAGGGAATAAGCCATAGGAAGCCCAACTGAGATTGTGTAAATGATTGCAGTAGCCACTTCACTTGTCAAGAGAGAGCTTTCTGTTGTGCAGATACTGCTTTAAAGAAGCATGGATGTCCTCATCCTGTCCCTCAACACCAGCATAAGTGACAAAGGGACAAGTTAGAAAGATGGAGCTTCTAGACATGCCATGGATCTATTTTCAAGCTGTTTCAGCCTATGTTTGCCCATTTTACCTTCTCTTCTTGTAGAATTTCACCTGTTTACATCTTTTAGTAGCAAGTTTCAACATGCAATTTCAGCTAGCTATGTAATATCTGACCAGCTTAGGTATATTTTTAAAAAGCTATGATCTGCCATGAGGATAACTTGATTTATAAAATGAAAGACTTGTCAAAAACCGTGTTCTGCCTTCCCCATCAGTAAATAACCATTAGTGTACCACACACAATAGCAGGTGTCATTACATCAATTTTCTATATCCTTATTATTGTATTTCTTTCCTTCTTTTCTGCCATTCTAGACCTGACAGGCCTACACATACCTTATGCGTGGAAAAAATCCGCCTATGTCTGTAAAACATTTGCTGTACAGAAGTAAAGCAAACTGTAAACATGCGTAGTAGATTTATAAAGCAGGTCGTTACAGAATCACAGAATGGCCCGGATTGGAAGGGACCTCAAAGATCATGAATCTCCAACCCCCCACCACCACAGGCTCGGCCACCAACCAACACATTTAATACTAGACCAACACTAGTCACAAACAAATGCAAAAGCTTTTTTAACAAAGCTTTTTCTGGAGATGTCTCAGGATGTCACTGCTTGCCAGGGGCCCAATTTACAGGTAATTGCACATAAAATGAGATTAATGAGCAGGCAGATGACAGAAGTGATTCCTCATTGTAGTGTGGAAGTACCATGTAATTATTCATTCATTCATTTGTTCAGTCACCCTCTGTACAACACTGCAGTGACTAATAGTTGCTTTTATTTGTTTGTTTTATGTAAAGTATAGCAAACTAGGCCTCAAATCTTAGAACCCCACACAAGTCATTGTTCTGTTAAGAACTTCTGAATTGTTTGACTGGGCTGCTTTAGTTGCTTTATGACATTCTTCCCTGTTCCTATTTTTTTTTAAGAGTTACAGTTAAGCCTTTTTTTTTTTTTTTTTTTTTTTTTACTGAGTTACCTATGAAGTTAGACGTTAAAATTCAATTAGAGATTTCTTTTTAGATGTATCCCAGAAAATTATTTATTTTATTTTGCTTCTTGTTGGGGCGGGGGGATTTTTCTATTCATGATTCTGTCAGAAAATTGTTAATAAGCCGTCACTTTCAATAGGATATACAGAGATGAACTCAGAATTTCAAAATATATCCAGAGAATTTTTTTTCATTTACAGGTATCTTACACAGCATTTTAGCCTTAACTCAGAACATTAGAGCATTAAGCCTTGCTGAAGGGAAGGGCAATCCCACTGAAGTTCACGTTTGGATGCTAACCCAACAGCATGGTGAATCCTAATCTTAAACTGAATTCCTCCCTGCGCTCCAGGACATGGGATCCCAGAACACAGTGATCCTCTGACCCAACAGACACAAGCCCGATGACATTTGCCTCATTACACAGTGTTGCTGAACTGGGACTTGCAAGAGTTTGTTTCAGGAATTCAGCTGCTAAAGGTGGGTTCAGATTCCCACCTGAACCATTCTCTCAGCCTTTTTCAGTGGCTTTGAAAAAATAATTTCTTTAAATAAAGAAATGTAGCTAGACCATCTGGTGCTGTGACTACGTTTGCATTTTTTGGCAGAGCTTCTTTTAATATTATGATCATTTATTTTAATTTGTTTTTTTCCAGCTGCAGATGTTTGGGCATTTTCTTTTGTTTCCAGACAAGTTAAAGAACAGAGGAGAAACAGTTAGGTAAAGAGAGCTCATAGGGCTGTTTTCTTGTGACTGGAGTACAAACCAATAGATGTGGCATGCTGCTTAGGGGCAGTGCTGGTACTTTCATAGTGACCTCCTTAGTGCTTAGCACACTTTCTAGTTTTTGTTCAACAGCCTGGCACTGGAAGCCACGTTATGTAGCTGAAGAAATGTGTCTGGAAACAAACTACTGAACTCTCTTCTAGGATTATCAGCAAAGGTGGACTCTAGGCTACCAAGTATGAGTCTGCAAAGTGGGCATCACAGTAGCAAGCAGATGTTACACCATTGTTCTGCTTCCTGTAGAGGAGCAGGCATCAGTAAATAAAGTTTGTATTTATACCTTTCTGAAACATTTATCTCTAGAGTGGCTGAGAAGATGATGTGCTCTACTTTCTCTACTCTCTCTCTCCCCACAGCTGCCTTACAAACAAGCTGAAGAGACATGCAGGCAGAGCTTGAGGCAGGGAGCGTCCTGGCAAGGCACCATGTGTGCATACAGAGCTTGCTGCCCACTGAACCCCACAGTCCAGCCTCAAGTGAGCAGAGATGTGTCCTTTAGTGACAGCTGGCTTTTTCCAGCCACCTCTTCCCTTTTTTCAAAGTGTACATTTAACTTTTTTTTTTTTTTTTTTTTTTTTTTTTTTTTTTTTTTTTGAGGGGGGGGTAGAGATACAAACATTGCTAAAAAGAATGAAATTCTGGCTGTTTTCAGGTGACATCTCTAGAATTTCAGTTTTAGGTATTTACAGTATACAGGCTGAAAACAGTCTCTTGCTTCTTTGCCAGCTGTGCTGTGCTAACTCCCACGAGAGTTATTTATGTACACCACCATCTTT